TTATTATTATTATTATTATTATTATTATTATTATTATTATTATTATTATTATTATTATTATTATTATTATTATTACTGGCTTTATATTGCATCTTGTTAGGATAAACCAATACCAATACTGCAAAACACTTTATTTTTGTGACCTTGTGTGAATGTGTAGAGGTATGTGTGTGTGTGCGTGTTTGTTTGTCTGCAGCATTAGATAAATGCCTCATGTACGAAGTGCTGGACAATTTTAAATGAAACTTTCAGAAAGTAATTATTGAAGGTGCATCATACAACATATTAATTTATGGAAGCCACATTAATTTCTTTGATCATTCACAGTGACAAACTGCACATGAGTACAGCCCCCTCCACTTTACGGAGCCTATAGTCATAAAAATTATTTTTTTTTTTTTTTCAAAACCAAAATCTCTTTACAATTTAGTTGCTTTGATGTCCCTGACTGCTCATAGGCAACAACACTATATTTATTTATAAAGCACCAAACTTCCAAAAAAGCACACTCAGTACCATTGTTTCAGTCAGCTTTAGGAGTTTGCATATGTGGCCACGTTACCAAGTGGTTAATTTTGAATGCTCCCTGAGTTTTGATAGATTTGGGGAGATTTTGTACATTAAACGCATCAAGGTCTTGGGACTATCTTTAAAAAGTTAATAAATCACAGATGTTCATATATATTAATTTCAATTGTAATATTAAGAATGCAGTGACGGAAATATGTCCTTGTTTATTTTTTTTCTTATTCTTTTTTTCTTTTCTTAGTAGGACGGAAGGGACAAGATGGCGGCAGAGCATTAGTAGCATTTTGCTGGACTCCCGTCAGACCCGCCTAAAAACCTGCCTTTTATACTGTATTTAAATTTCTTCTGTCTCTGCGGAGGAATCTGTTTCTGAAGATGGTGTCGTCGCTGGATTGTTCCAACACAGCTGTAATATGGCCTCTAAATGGAAAAAATCTAAGATGGGATTCCCCCTGCCCCTGCAGCCCAGATATATTGTTTCAACTCTGGTCCATGGAGAAACTGCTGCGGCAGATGGGATGACTTCAACAGGTGCGTATCCACCGTCTGCGCTGTCTTCTAGACAGACAGCTGGGTCAGCTATGAAGTCAGATATTCTGGCTATAATTAAGTTTGAAGTTGTGGTGATAATTAGGATGGAAATGAAAGCAGCCCTAATGGATGATTTTAATTTTATTAGGAACAAATTACAAGCAGTGAGAGCAGAACTGGCTGGAAATACTGCATCCCTCAGAGCAGAACTGGACCAAGTTAAACTAAATATCACAAAAGCTGAAAATGGACTTTGTGTGCTCAGATGAAATGGGGGATATGTGTGGGACTGTGGTGGAATTGAAATCTGAACTGAAGGGGCTGAAAAGGAGGCTTGAATCTGTGGAGGGGAATAGGAAACATAACAATATCAGTCATTGGAGTCTCTGAGCTGCCAGGCCCATGTACACCTATAGTGATAGCCAAAATGCTAATGGGGGTGTTGAAGCTGGACAAGTTGCCTCTGTTTGATCATGTGCACCAGACACCGGGCAAGAGAGGCCCAGATGATAAATCAAGAGTCGTGGCCAGGCTGCATTATCATCAGGATTGTGTGGAGATATTACAACGAGCATGCAGCAGAGGCCCAATCCACTTCAAAGAATAATCCATATTCATCACAGCTGATTACACACCAAGCATGGCAAAGGTACGAGCAGCGTGGCGACTCTTGTGGAACCGTGCAGGTGTCTGGTATGGACTTCTTTTTCCTGTAATATATATATATATATATATATATATATATATATATTTATTTATTTATTTATTTTATTCATTCATTCATTTCATTTCAGTTAAAACAAGACTTATTCCATACAAATAAAATAAGATAGATATAAAATGAAAGGCAACAGAAGAAGAACGAATTCTTATCATTTCTGCCCCTTCTAAACAATATCAATTCAAAACAATCTATTCAAACAATACATAATACAACCAACCAAAAAACTTATCACAATTCATTATAATTCCATACCATTATCCAACTTAAATATATTTCATCATCAATACATTCTTAATCTTTTTTTTAAATACAACTAATGAATTCTCCTTTTTGATATCATTATCTAAACCATTCCATAAACTAATTCCCTTGATCGAAGTAGACCTACCCTTAAAACTTGTTCTATATTTCATGTTTACAAAAATATCTGTTCCCTTTAAATTATAACAACTATTCCTATATATATATATATATATATATATATATATATATATATATATATAT